ATTGGATGATCGCCATCGCCTGCAATATTTTTTTTGACCTGTCGTATTTGGACTGGCAGCAGAGTAATCCTTTCCACACGAATCACCTGTGCCTTTCCTTATCAGATCAGTGTTGTACAGCAGTGACGTGTTCTAACGAAAAACCTAGAACAATTTAACCGAGTGTAGCAGCACTTGCTTCGACACTTAATGAGAGTTAAAAGACCACTTAAGGAACGATTGTACTTTGTTTCGGGTACAGGTGAGTGCAAGATTGAGATAAGGAATTCGGCCTTTATGGACTAGCTGTCTGAGCATAAACCATTTGGTCTAGTTCGCCAGCTTCTCAGGTGGGAACTGAAAAATGGCAACCTAAACCAGGAGATCAGAATATAGATTGAATGAAGGTAGGTCTGCTTTCGGCGAGGAATTGTTCCTTTTACGTTGCGGTGACCGGTGTCACAGAGCAAGTTTTGAAAAGATGCGAATGCAGTTGAAGTCACAAAGCGATATACCTTCTGCTTCTGCAAGGCGATAATCGGAAAGCACACCACCTTCAGGATAGTCTGATTATGTTCTGGACGTAGCTAGCGTTGTCGGCTGATGAATGTGTGAATGTGAGCAACCGATAAGGATCAAATCGAAACTAAGGTTTGAGACAACGCAGCTTCATGATACATCTATCGTATGAACCCATTATGTAGCACCTTAAATGTACTAAACATTATCGTGTCTATTAATATTACAATCAATGTACGCATGAGTCTTCGATTCTCACTTGAAATTACAATTCAGTGAACTGAACAGAAAATTGTTTTAATTTCGCGGTGAGCCCTTTTGGTTCTGTAAAGGCACAAAATACATTTCAAATGCCATTTTAAAGTATCTGGCTTCAAACTACAGTGTATAAAATTTTACAAATTTCGGCCACGTCAACAGTGATTCAGCGACAAATCTCGCCAAGCTGCCTTCATACTAGTCCGTATAAAACGCTTCGCAAACACGCAAAGGGTTATCCCGAAATGTGAAGCAATGACGCATGTCCACAAGTCAATCACTTCATCGATGTTCACCGTATTTCGCAATGTTCGGCGGCGGACGGACTCCAGTCGGACCAAAACTGGCCGTTACAGGAACATTTGGCAGCCGAAAACGTGCAAAATTCACGGGTTCCTGGAAGCGAGCACGTGGAATCGGTGGTGGAGGACGGGTGAAATCGAAAAACGGCGGCGGTCGCATACGCAGCATCGGGAAATTTGGTGGCAAGGCTGGCAAAGTTGGAGGTTGTTGCTGCGGTGGCTGAACAATCTTTGGAAAGACAGCAGCTGGCGGTCGTACAACATCCACGGACCTTGTGCTCCTGCTCGCAGGTTCGTCATATGCGAGTCGGCTGCGTTTGGCGATATTGTGAGCAGTGTCACTCTCGTCTTCGTCTCTGATCTCTCCTTCTTCAAGGATATTATTCTGAAGGTTTGGACCGACCGGGAAAGTCGTTGAGGGGCGAACCGCACGAGGAAGGAAAGGTGGTACCGCAACCGGCACTGACATCGGTGGGCGAATAGACTGAAAATCAAAAACGTAACTTTGTGCTATGAAAGGAAACAAGTTTGAAGGTCCGTAAATTATTCTATCATTACTGTCTGAAACAGCATCAACACTGCGTAGTTAGGCTTGCATAGGATAAACTGTGAGTAACCACAAAACAAAAAACAAAACCTGACGTATACCATTGTGATTAGCTTAAGATTTCTTCGGTGGAACCTAACTTATTTAATGTAGATTCGCAGTATGAGGCAATTACGCCACTGCTTGGCACAGTTTTTGGCCCCCTCGTGCAGTCAAGTGATTCTTTACATTACCTCACCTCCCTTGTGGTGTACCCAATTTTCCTCCCGGTATCATCAGCGTTTAAAGCATGTGAATGACGTAGTTTCCTGACCTATCTTTCACATGACAGAACCCATGGATCCTGGCTTCGGAGAGCTATTTCGTTACTAATGGCACCTACTAGATGTATCTTCTATGAAAAAATACTTACTGACACCAGATATTCGGCGTGCATTCGCTTTTCTACCGAGTTAAGCGACTGCTTGGGTCCCTTTAATGTGGTTTGATGTTCAGCTTCGTCTGGTTTTGAGATTATGTTTGGTGTTAAGACTTCTATGGACCATCTCTCTCAGCTTGTTTGGCATTTTTCCATAAAGCACACTCTCAACATCTCTTCACTTGAACCAGTCTTTTAATTTCTTAATGATGAATTTCTTAATCCGCTGGCAAAATTGTGCAGAATTACGGTTCAACTCCCATCAGTCACTTGAATCATTCTTGAACAATTTTATTCGTGACATGCACCTCATGGTTCTTCCATCAAATAGATTTATCCTACAACCATTACATTTAAATGATTTTCTGATGAGGAATAAATGATTTCTCTGGTGTTCACCACTGAGTCTACAGTTGACAGTTTTTCCTGTTTTCGTGCAGTATGCAAATTCTTAAATACTGATGACTAATGATGCACCCGCATTACCTTTGCATAACTTTCCTGATCTGATCATTTTTATTACAACCACGAACAGTCAGAAAATACAGAGCATCGCGATTGTGACTAGCCGTTACAGCGTTATTACGATGTATGTCATGTACAAAGCGTCTAAGCCAGAAACGGACTGCATTTTGTCGGCTAATGAATGGCTTCTAAACGGTAAGGCGAGATCCAAGAGAGTTACTGCAGCGTCAAAATTCGTAGACGGTCTGAGTCACTGCGTGAACTCACCCATGATGAACAAATTTTAGATAACAGCACAACGGCAATAGCTATTAATTTTTCCTATAACGGAAGTTTGCCACTACAGGAAACTATAGAGCATAATGTACTCTACAGTTCCATCATTATGAACGTCATTAAGATTATCATTTTTCAACGAACCGCTGTTGTGAAGCTAATAAGTTTCTTGTGAGGAAAGGCCTGGCCAACGTCAAGCTCGCTTTCAGCAAAGAAGACAGCTTACCGGTACAACAGGAATGTAATACGGCGACGGGGCAGGCATCACGGGTAACGGCGTGTTCGGATTAGGGTTTCTTACCGGGACAGGAAGCCGGGGTACTGGTGGTCGCACGACAAATGGAGCAGGTGGAGTTGCAGCTGAAGCAGAACTGGTTGGTGGCCAACAAGGCGGTGTCGTCTGAAGCATAGAGAACATCATGGATGACATCAAAGCCATCCATTCGTTCATGCTTGTTGGAAATGGGATCGCTTCTTCGGAATGACTTTCGACTGATACTGACCTCTTCGTTCGATTCTTTTGCTTATCCTTTAAGCGCGTATCAATTCCATCATGCCTAGAGTTTATCGGCGGTTTTGGTACGGGAGGCGGTGGATTTGCAGGCACCCAGTCGTTAAGCGTTTTAGCCAAAGAGCTCATGGTCGCGTTTATGACGGAATCAGCACCAGAGGTCCCTGCGGAAGATGCGGTACTGGACTTGGAAGATCCAGATGGAGATTTCAGACAAGGAATGCCAGCGACACTGTCTGATGGTCTGCGACCTAGCGAAATGTGGTCCATGCTTGATCGTATACGAAGCGGGTGAAATTTGACGTCCGTCTTCTGTTGGCCACCATCCTTCGATGTACATGGTAATGAAGAAACAGTTCTATAAAGAAAATATTGCTGACAGTCATAAAATCAATTGCAATATTTACGACTTTAACCTGGTATCGCCACTCGCTGAAGAAAGAAGTCTGACGTCGTCATATATAGCTGGAGCTGATATGTGACGAATAAGTATGCCTAGAATCACATTGCGGCCAGTATCGTGCAACCCTAAACCATGTTAAATAGACAAAAATTATTAATTAAATGAACCAACAGGGTATGACCTCGCGAAACAGCAATCAATAAACAGCAAAGAGAAAACAAGGAAAAAAGCCTTACCATAAATACCCAAAACCATATACGACTTTTAGAGTTTCAGTACAATTAATTATTAAGCACACTTTTTATTATGCAGTGCGTCTGACGCTTGAATCTGCAGTGTAATCTAACCGACTAAAATAGGAGTATATCCAATATCCGGTCGCTCGCTACTTGAGACTCGCATCAGACGTGGAACCTACATTTGGTGAGGTCATCATGACGTGCGCGTAGAGAAACTTCGTCTAAAATTACCTGTCTTATTGACCTCGTGCAGTTAAAACCAGCTGCTCGATTTTGACAGGTTAATATATGACGAAGCAGCGCGGTCGTTTTACCCAAGGAGATTGAGTTATTTCAGTGTCACCTTTAGAGCCCAGTCAGAAAGTGGCAACGTCGATGAAGTTTACAGACTTCAAAAGCGTCATTTCCTTGGCGAAAAACGCAGCTGAGGTTAGAAAAAAATAAATAGGCTATCCTGGGTTACGAAGACCCTACTGCACCTTCGAAGACGGTTAATCGTCTCGTTCGTGCAGCAGCCAGAGCTACAGGTGCTAGAGGGAACTTAGCTTGGGGGATCAAGAAGATCGATAAGGCCGCCAACAGGATGACTGGCGAATAGCATTTACAGAGGTGCGACAGTAGCCCGGTAAACAGGGGACTCCGTCTGTCCTTATCCAATACGCTACGGGTGCCCCGTTGGCAGGTCAGAAGGAACAACTCAAAAGATGGTCCGGATTTTCAGGAGCTGCTCTATTATTTCCGACTGTTAATTCCCTGCCACGACTAGATATTAGTACAGATCCACCCACGAAACTAGAGATTCAAGAAGCTATGCTAAACCTTTATAAGTCCGAGAAGGTCTATAGGATGAATCGAATTCCGCCGGAGTTAACTAAGTATGGAGGAACAGAAACGGTGGAAAACCTTCACACTCTGTTTCATCAAGTGTGGACCTCCAAAAAATTTCACTGGAAGATGCAAATATGGAGTAATTGTATCTATATTTAAAGGAGGTCGAGTACAGAGCGTTCCAATTGACGTGGAATGACAGTACTCTTAACTCCCGAAAAATTCTTCTAGATAATCTTGGAAAACCCGAAAATTGGCAAATGACGGGAGATCTCGCCTAAATTTAGCAAGTTTTCGGATGGGATGCTTCTGTCCGGACTAAATTTTAATTCTGTGCATAATCACTGGGCAATGCTACGATAATAGTTGCCATGGTTTGTCAATTTCCTTAACATTACGACTGCATTTGATCCATTAAATCGTCTAAATTTTCCGAAACACTGCTGACACCGCAAAGACGAAGGTATCATTCTGGGAAGGGGGGGGGGTGCGCAGTTCAAGATAACCGACTAGATATCGTCTTGACCTGAATTACGCAGATAATACTGACCTAGAGAGAGCACGGAATACCACTGTCACCGGCCGGCTTTTGTTTGCAACACAACTGTGAAAGATGGCCTCGTCCTTAACGCCCGGAAAAAAAAGTTATGAGAAATCTATCCGGTACAGCTGATCTAGGAAGTGAATCAATACAGCGGAATAGGGAAGTGAAACCCTTCCGGAGGTTGACCAACTTAAGTGTCTCGGCCCCATTCATCTCCAGTGATGGCACTGACCAGTCAGAATTAAATAGCACGATTGCCGTAGCCTCGAGTGTTGGAAACGTGTCTGATATTTGGGCTGAGCAAGGAGCAAAAATACAATCATACCTGGCCTCTGTCAGAGGAGTGATGTTGCACGGAATGAAAACAGTTGTTCTAATAAAAAAAGAAGAACCACGATTAAACTGCGTGCAACAACGTTCACTCCAAGGCATAATGACGGTAAAATGGTAGACTGACATAAGGAATCGCTATTATCTTCAGCGCACATGTGACCTCGTTAATGTGAAGGTTACGAAATAGAGACTGACACCATAAGACAACCTGAATGCACATAAACAATTTCCTCCAGCGGATTAGCTGCCAGTGTTGGAGCGGAAACATGACATACGTCCACTATGAAGCCAGTATGCAACGTGGAAGAATAAGGAATATGAAACGTGGAAGAATAAGGAAAGCAATTCTGCTTTCGGAGAGGAATATCTTCTTCTACAGTAACGGGTGCTTTATAGAAAATGTTGAAAAGCAGCAGATACAGCGGTCATGACAAACCAGCTCGTCCTACTTACGCAAGCGGCTCACGATGTTGATCTCAACATGCAAAAACATATCACGCATCACGAACGGCACGTTAGTTGTTTATCCTTTAGAGCAGTAATATTGCGCTTGGGCACATCTTACCTGGTCCAGTGAATGGAAGTAAAGATGGATGTGGAGTATCTTCAGCAGCCAGCGGCAAGATGTAAAAGTCTTTTACCACTGGTAGACCCTTGGTTTCTATCACACAGTACTTATCCTTAAGGACCATGTTGTTGTAGAGATCGTGGTAGCGGTTTCGGTCTTCAACAATGAATGGTTCAGCGAAGCGAACAACAATAAGGTAATGGCCGGCCCAGCGCTGAACCTGAGTAACGTAGTTGTAGACGATTACTGACGGAATTCGACCGATTATCGTCAACTTTGGACAGAGAGCGCCCTTCAATAGGCCTGCCGGTCCAGACACCGGTTCGATAGTAGTGTCGAACGTCAAATAGCTGGGCATGTCCAAGGTTCCAGACCACACGGTGTCGCAAAAAAAATCACCGCTCTTAAGCTCAATCGGCGTCGTTGCGTGGTCACACAACGGCTTCACGACGGTAACCCTTTTCGGCGTTGGTCTCTTTGCGTCGACCGACTCCGAGCAAGCCGAGAAAGATGAGGAATGATGTGCAACAACCTGAAAATTAAATGAATACGGCTAGCAACAATGCATTATGGCGGCATTTATCGAAAGATGCAGAGAAAGCAAAAGCAGTGACGTGAAGTGATGAGGCGAAATCACGTGACCGCCATGTACTTCACCTTAAAACGAAACAGCAGTGCGATACAAACCGACTGTCACTGTCATCGGCAAAGCTAAGAGAATGTCGAACAAAGATATAAATAACGCAACTGACTCAATATGCACGTGCGTCCCGTCTTACCGGTGCCAGACTAACACTGTCGCTAGTCAAGTTGAGGGCGTCCGTCCGATGAACGCAAGTTTCAGAATGTACATCACGGGTATGATCCGATTTGCTATCACATGACGCGCGATCAGTCGACTTGTCATCGGGCGAACTTGATTCTTCTTGTTTCTGAAGAAAAGTGCTTTGCATTGGAACAGAATAAAGTACATAATTCACAAATGCATCATACATCACAGCAGAGCACATCACAATCATCACCAGACTTCAGAAAAAATAAACTTCCAGTAGTAACTGCGAGTATAACTTGCGCAACATTCGTCTGCAGCTTTATGAGGCCTCTTAACAAGATGAACCTCGGCGATGAGAAAATAAATTTAAATTTAAAGCGTCTCAGAATAAACAGTCGATCATCGAATACCATAAGTACAAATATAAAATGAGCGCAACTCTTCTAAACGTTTGGGCAACCAGATATCCATGTCGATGGCGTCAAATCTGTCAGTCTCAAGAACTGGAAGTCGCATACGTCTGAAAATGTAATAGTTTTCAGTTTGAATATCAGATATTAAGCCATCTCATAATTTAATCTCAGATGAATGTTAATAGACTTTCAGGTCATCTACTAGCTTGCATTTCAAAGAAATATCGCTTTAGAGTTCATTCTCAAGCCAAGCTCGTTCACTTATTTAAACAGCAGGTTCTTTACTTGGGGCAAGCTAACAGCTTCAAGGAGCCTTACTTGTGGCTTCAGCTGTCCGTCCGTTAGGCATATTCCACAAACTGAATTCCAAAAACAAACCGTCAGGTGTTCAACATAACTGATGCATGTGGTTTGCAATTAGCTCGATGCTGCTTTCTGTGCGACTTGCGAAGCGAACACAACTTAGCTTCTTCTCGCACATTCTAAACCTTCGCAAATACAATCATTCGTTGCTGAATCGGACAATGTTTGAGGGTATCTCGCGAACTGTTGTGTCCTGAATTTTGTTCATCTTCGTCACATCAGTTTGTCCAGCCTGACAAATGCTACTTTTGGGGCAGTTCACTACTCATCAGTTCATTACTGTCCTACAAATGGGACAGTTCATTACTCATCTCTATTTAGGAAGAATATCCTGCAATTACAAAAAGTATATTATAGCTTAAATCTGGTCTTGGAGGAGTTATACGTTAACTGACATATTCCAGCGTACAAACATAATTTTGTTTACGATGCAGTATACAAAAGTAGCAGACTGAGATATAATGAGCGCGAAGTGGCTCTAGCGAACAAAATTATGTGAAATGCACCTAGCAGTGCAGGTGCTCAAATAGAGTCATGGACTGATTAAATGCCTCCAGGCAACTAGGAGCAATGGGGCGGTGCCATACAGCACAAAATCTGCTCTTGGAACAGTTAAGTGCTACTGCTGATGTCTTTGAAGTTGGAACCCACACAGTATACTCAACTATTTCCCATATATATTTTCTTCATTACAGTAAGACTCGATAGGCTACAAGACTTTACCGCAATGCATGATGGTTGTAATCAAGAAATAGCTCATTTTGAGAATTTGGACCTGTCGTGCAAATTTAAGTATAGAACGCGATTCATCTGAGAAAAAACTGATCCATATTCACTATAACGTTCCTCGAAACGACTAAGGATAAAGGGATTGTAACATGGGCATTATGCATGGGTAAAAGGAATTTCCTTGAGAATTAAGTCTAAAATTTTGAGCACAAACAAGCTTTCATCATAGTAGATTTTCAATTTTCCATTTCAGAATAATTGCGCCTTTCCACGTATCAAGCTTTTCAAGAATTTTTTAAAATATCGCTAATTATTATATGGCAGCACTGATGTTCACATTATGTCGTGCTTCATAACTACTGACAAAAGTTCAGCGTTAGATTAACTCCTCAAGCTGCATAACGAACAACGTTGATAAATTTCGCAAAGCGGTAACTACCACGGCTACTCCGGTAAAATAACGCCCAAGATTCATCATATGACAGAAAAAATGCGAAGGCCGTAAACGTCTCTCTCAACCGATAAACCTACCAGACATTATCCTCATGGTCTATAAATAATTTTGGACGATTACAGTGCTCTTGTAATCGAGGGTGAAAAGTTGGCAAGGAAGAGAACATTGTCGACTGTAGCTGTCGCGTGTATTCCATACATTTTCAGATTTTGCGCAATGAAGACCGAAACGCACTCGCTATCTAACTAAACAAGAATACGCGTATTGAAGAGTAGAGTTCAAACACCTAAGTTAAATATCAGGACGACTCTTAAATGCTCTAAAATCGAATATCATTTAGGGGCTAAGCAATGCGAACAAGACACCATCTGTAAGAATCATACGCCGTCGATTGAGTATTCTGCTCGTGCGTTTGTGGTTTTATTTAAAACACAAAAAACGATTTTATTATGCACAACGCGATATGATCGCTGATTGGGTGATAGAGCTAAACCGACGATTCAGAGGACAATCGCTGAATAACGCGATTTTTGTGCTGTTACTTTCCAGTTCTTTGGGGAAAAAGTTCAAATTCAGCCATTCGACTCAGTCACGACACGTGTAGTATTAGAGTTCTGAGTAGAACCCAACCTGACTGAAAGAATCACCGAATGAAAGATTACGGCGGACAGGTGGCAATCCCCCAACTGAAGTTACAAAAGGCTAGAGTGTTGACCAATTTACATGTCTATTATCCCAACTCAAGGGGAGGAGACGAGTAATTCCTGGGGGAACTCGAAACTGCTCTCTATGAAGAGTCACCGCGGAAGCTATCAACTCAACGAGCGATTTCAACGAGCATGTCGCAGCAGACACTGAAAAGTGGAAAGGCGTGACTGGAAAGAAAGGCCATAGTGCTGTCTCAACAATAATGACATGAAGTTGCTGCAGTTCTGTGCAAATAGCGGACTGTCCATTGCGAACACTTGCTTCAAGCATCAAATGTTTAAACTCCTTAAGTTCAGCATTACGCAAAACAGCTGAAGAGATAAAACGTTTTACATTCTGGAAGTGATATTTTTGGGAGGACGCAGTTGCAAATATAAATAGTGATACTGCAGAGAGTTATTATTAAATAAATGAACGTTTTAATAGGAGTCTACATTTGTAGTCCGCTCATTTTAGAATAATTTTGGGCGTCATTCGAGAATAATCTTAAATGTCAGCCAGCAACTGGGTATAAAAATAAACTTACATTTGCAACGGTTGTTCACGACACTGACCTTAACTGCAGTTAAACGAAAATATTTTAATGATGTTGATCAGCTCAAATATTGCCGTTTAACTCTAATAATAATAACAAACGTTGTGAAAAGTTATGGAAACTGTCAATTTATATTTATATCCAATACGGAAGGATTCATGGGTATTTGAAACTAAACACGCATTCAGTTTATAAATTTTTCTTTAGTTTAAATGACTTCAGAGAGGTATAAAATTAAACCATCGCATTAGGAACAAGATCCGCAATGACCTTTGCCAAGAGTGAAATTAGCCAAAGCGCTGAAGTTACTCTCACATGCAGATGAGTACCAATAGGCACGGGACAAAAAAGGGTAAGATGTTGTTTTCGACCTGTTTCACTTCTTTCGACCTTGCTTTAACAATGAAAGAAATCAGTATATACCTATGACTCAATCAACCAACTGGGTCGCACAGCAAGAAAACTTGGACGATATTCCCTGTGCCGAGAGTAGCCATGTGCTTTGCAACAAACGGTTAACGAAGCAGTGGAAAGGCAACATTTGGCTTACATAACTCCTCAAATCCTAACAGCAATGTGTCTAATAGAAGGATAGTCTGACTAAAGAGAGAGTGCAAATCTTAGAGACAACTTAGTGAATGCTTTGGATAGAGAACGATGACATGGAACGACGTGGCTCCCGTAACTGCATTTTTGAGCGCTATCTTTTGTCTGCCATCATCACGAACAACTTATTGGAAGTGCTGGAAGAACAGCATCGCCACTCACAAATCTAACTGGTCATGCTGTTTACTGATATAATGGAACCGCGATATTTAAAGAGACTGCTTTCTTATACTGCTTCAGTTTCCTGTGGTATATCTGGATCTGCCGCGTCGCACTATTGCAGATGCGCACAGTTCATTTAACCGAAGCTTGACTGGATCAAGAAAACGTGCATGTACTCATCAAAATGCATTTAGCTTTTAGGTTTGCTTCTGCTGCAGATGTTCTTGAAACTTTTGAAGCCTTGTTTGAGAGCAAACCCTCTATACGAGTCACTATTTATTTGGATTAAACGGCAAATAAATACTGACGCATACGTTTATCGTTAATCTTTACGATAAACCTCATAACCCATATACAGCTGAAAACCGGAACATCGAAGGATATCATCTTTTAACGCAAATGATACTAATTTCTTTTTATCAAGCAACCTTTAGATCTTCATTCTGTCCATCCTGTCTATACAAATCGTCAGTCATCCTTCGTTTGAAGGACACACAGCACGAATAAAACTTTAACTGTTTTCTATAGGAATTAACAGAAATAGTGGCTCTCAACCCTTCCATCTAGACTTGTAGTCTATGCTTTCGTCTAAGAAAATTTACTTTCATGGATCAAAAAGACCCGGTCAATTCTTGATAGCAGCCGCGTCACCTGACCATTTAACAGTTCAACACAGATCTTCGCGGCTGAAAATATGCACACACGAATTCACCTTTAAAGTTCTGCGATTCCTTATTCAGAATAAAACATAAGGTTCGCGTGTTTACAGATGAATTATTTTTTCCACGATATAACAAACCTCTTCCGGCAGCAAACTGTTCAAAAGTTAATGTTACAACTGACACTACCACAGTCGTTCTCTAGCCGAAACAGCTCTCGTGACGATCGCAAGAACAAGTTTCTTATGTTCGTCATACATAACCGAGCTGCTCGCTGGGCAATTACTATAGGGCTCATAAGAAATTCGGTCGGATGTCGGAATAGTTTAACACAACAAGGCTCAGCAAAAAATAAACTTTTAACTGCATCTGGTTAATTTCTGTGAATTTCATTTCAGCAGATTGCATTTAACGAAAGTGACAAATCTGTTACACTGCCTTGTGTTAAACCGTTTTGTTACATCTTCATTACAACCTCATTTTTCACTGTGCATACCAGCAAACATCTGAAAACCAATGATTTGCAAATGACTACGAACTATTCAATGAACGTACTGCATGCCAGATTCGCGTTATAGTCTTCTCAAATTAGCCCAATTACTGTCAAGAAAATATTCATTATATTTATTAACGAAATAATAGCTATAGGCAACATACAGTCGCGATAACTGAGGATCGGCAGGAAGCAACCCCATACTTCATGTTCTATGCAAATGACATTGTGCTATGCAGCGAAAGCAGAGAAGCTGTAGAATCAAAAACCAGCATGGAGCCAGCTCTTGAGAAGAACCGTCTTCTACTTAGCAAAGGCAAATCAGAATATATGGCGAGCTATTTAAGTTTGGAAAACAGGTTGAAATCCGTCAAACCAGTCCAACTATCTTGGTTCTATCGTGCAAGATAACGCGGAAATCGACAGCGAGGTAAGAAATCAGTCGAAAAAAGATTGGCTCAAATGGAGAGAAGTGAACGGAGTACTGTGAGACAAGAAGACGCCCATCAGAATGAAAGGGAGGGTGTACAGAACGATAGTGAGACCGGAGCATCTGCACGGAGAGGAATGCTTGGCTACACTGAAGAGACATGAACAACAGCTGAACTCTGTAGAAATACGAGTGCTAAGATGTATGTGTGGTGGCAGCAGAAAAAAAACCAACCACATCTGAAACAGCTCTATAAGAAGCACCTCTAGGGGTAGCACCAATTTAATAAAAGCTTATCGAAAGCAGGCTCCGCTGGTTCGGCCACGTGAAAAGAAGACCCATCGAGTACGTGGTAAAGGATACTACCGGGAAAGAAAAGGGAGACCGAGGAAAAGTTGGCGCGATGTCGTCAAAAACGATATGAAACTGTGAGAAGTCTTTGAAGATAGAACGAACGACAAAAAAATTACGAGGCTGACTCGATTAGCAGACCCCTGTTAAACGGAACATGCTAGGAAAAAGAAGAAGCTATAAACACAACACTCAAGACTGATGTTTAAATTACTTTTACTACCAATGATTCAGTCTAAACAACACTGGTCATCTTAAGGGCACGCAATGTTGTTTGGAAGAAACTTCTACAGTAGAAATAAATCTCGTCCTTGTAGGTCAAAAGCGTCGAAAGCCATCGGTTCGTTATTACATATATCGAAGAATACAGAATCGAAATAAGTTTTCTAAATCACAACAATTTAATCAGTCGAATCATCGGTCCATTACACCCAAAAACCGCTCTCGCTACGCTACAGTTGCCCACGCTGAACCATTATGAAAGTCAATTCAAAATGTCCATGCTACATAATACATGCATTCCATTTATTTTTAACATGCATCTTTTAATTCCGTGTCAAAGCTTTTCAATATCTTTCTTAGAACCACACAGACATGACCACAAGACGGTGAACATCGAAATTACATACACGAGCAGTTTCACGGCTGCTAAATTTAACACTAAATTCATTGCTCACTTGGCTAATCTGGTGACTTCTGGACAACTTTTCTTCAGCGGGCCGCAAGTCTTTCGCAAGACCGGTGCAAACTCTGCAATTCAGGTCGAACAAATGAGATTTGTGCTTGGCGGTGGTATCGAGCAAACCATATTGGTCGCATGCACTGTCAGTCTGCAAACGAAAGAATGTCATTAGTTTACCCTAATGACGAAGAATACATGAGCAACAAAAAAACATAGATAACAAAATTTGGAATTCATGAATAAATGCGCATAGTTTTTGTTGTGAACGTCAACTGAGGATAGTAATGTTTTCTTACCGATGATAAGCTGCAGTTCTTGGTTTCCTTTGCGTAATGTACGGCGCCGGACACATCCTTGCCACCTGATTTCTCCTCACCCATTTGAGCGAGCGCCAATGGTGTCAGTTCACCACGGATCACACGTCGAAAGAAAGAGTTGTGCTTCATATTTTTGAGGTTCGATGACAGAAATTTTAACTTTTGTTTATACTCGGCGTTAAACCCTTTACAGTGGCGGTAGATTTCGTTTTCTATAGCACTTGCCAACCGTTTGATATCGTCGCTGCCCATCAGCACGTCAGTCGCTAGTCTGGCCCTATAAACATGTATAAATTAAAGTATAAAACCAAAATTCATTATGACACAAGAAACTGACCTGTTCATTAAGATATCGCTTAAGTGTCTTTTTATGCTGTTTCTGTTTTGAACTGTCGCAGGCGAGCTGGGCACCGAAATCATGACAGTATCCTCAGATCGTTTCTTTTTATTCGTTTCTTGAATACCGCATTCGTTCACATGTTGCTTTAATGCGATTTTATCGTCCTTCATAAAATTTTCCGAACTGCTCCTCACATCCCATCGTGGGGGCAGTAATGGAATATACGTAGGATTTGCCTTCAGCCAAAGTTTTAGATTTGCTAACTTTGGCGCTTCCTTTCCAAAAATGATAGTTCCCCGCTTACCCATCTTTTTGACAGTCACGTTGTCATCGCAGTGGTAGCAGCTTTCTAACTGCTTCAACAAATTTTCCAAGCATTCGTCTGAGCAATAAGATTCGGAGCGTTCATCCCTGTCTAATGCCTGGTCACAAACGATACAAACGAGATAACCGTTTGTGACACTCTCTTCTGTCGAACTAGCAGTAGTCAGAACAGTGAAGCGGCAAGAGCACTTTGGACAAGTTGTTTCGTTTTTACTGTCAATCATCAGCTTTATCTGGCATTCTGAGTTCTCTGCCAACGGGCTGTGAAGGCAACAGCTGCAGTTTCGACAGGTGATGAAATCACCTTTAACTTCCTTTCTACAAAGAAAGCACACCGTGTTCTGACTGCCTACACGCAGCCGTTCGCTTTCGGGCCGTATTTCTGAACTGGATTCTGAGCGGTGTGTTACGAAGTCGCTTTCACTTGACTTCTTCAAGGTTGGTGTTTTGTTCTTTGCTTGGTACTCAGACCTAAAAGCTGACCTTGTAAACGCTGAAATGTATCTTATACGACAGAAAGAAAAAAAGAAAGTTCGCAACCGTTGAATAGTTTATCGCCGTTTGTGGTACCTTGGCTTCTTTTGATTAAGCTTATTCCACACGCTGATCATTGTTTCCATGCCATCAGCCACGAATGTCTTTAAAGGCAATGTCTAGGGCTATATATAGCATGTAGCTTCTTGTTTGATTTCACACAAAATAGTGCTCGTTTATCAACTTCGGAAGAATGAATGAGGATGACCCAATCGCGGCTTGAACTCACAGTTTTGTGAGTCTGAAGCTCTACTAGTTAAGCAGGCCTGGTTTTATTTCAATTACATATTAGACAACTGAAATGCCTAAGTCTACAAACCAATAAAATCAGTGCCACTTGACTTTTATAAGCCGATTTTCTACTTATCCTACAGCTTTGATGTACCTTCTGAAACAAATCAGACAAATTTTCAAAGGACTTCCTTTAATCTTTTATTATATCAAGGCCAGTTCCCTGTCTGCTACCTTCCTACATACTAAAGAGTCAGTAAGAATCTCCTGATCTATTGATACATCTCACTAACTGAACGAAGAACCAGCGCATTTAGCTACATGGCAGCTGTCATAAACTGAAAATTTCTTCTGAAATTTATTGAAATAAACCATACTATGCTAATTTTCGGTCATTTCTCCAGATTCGCGCGGAATAATCGCATAGTCATCTTGTCTCTTAGCAAAAGGAACCGTTTAAACCGCAATGGCTTCAAGGTATATTAGAACCTCCAATGCATGGGCGCACAACCGCACCAGTTTGTTGGGTCGAACAAAAACCTCGTTTGTTGGGTCGAACAAAAATTCGCATAATACCTGATATGCCTTGAGCCGTATGCACATATAATAAAAATTAAACGCGGAATTATGCCTTTATCAATAAACTGCTAGCTTTTG